AGTTCTTCTTTGGATTTTTCACATGAGTGAGGCATGAAATTGTTCAGGGGAGGTTGCACAGGTAGCAAGAGGCAGGTTGTGTCAGGGTTCACTAGAGGATCAGATTTAATTTGTGAGAGAGAGAGAGAGAGAGTGTGTGTGTGTGTGTGTGTGTGTGACACATAATGGATTTATATAGTAGGATTAGAATGGCCTTCTGCAGACTCCTGGGGAGAACACAAAAGGGCCTTGTTCTCCTTGAAGATGCAGAAGAATTGGCTGAAGGTAAAATGGACTGTTCGTGAGCACTGTGTGAACATTTGTTGGCCTGCTTTGGGAACTCAAGAAAGATTTTCTGGGGTGAGGTCCCAAGGTCAGAGAATGTACATGTTCAAGACATCAGCAACAGTGGTAGTCAGTGTGGAGCAGAGCAGAGAACCACTGTTTTTGTTGTATAATTCTTACAGTTTTCTATCTCATATTTATATTCTTATATAGTGCTCTAAGCAGTCCATGGTGGCCAGGAAGCAGAGTAGAGGGACAGCACCAGGGAAGAAGGAGCCAGAGACCAGATGGAGCACCTAGCGTCATTCCTCCATAACCCCTACAGATGAGCCCAGAAGTATACTTTACTAATCCCTTGGACAGCTCTCAAGCCCATCAATTGACAATGAAATCAATCATCACATAGCAGAAGTTTTGTGAGGTTAAAATTATAGGTGATTTACATATGTGCATATATATATATATATATTGTTTTTTTGGTTTTTTCTACCTTTAAAATTCTATCCAAAGTCAAAAAATGCTGAATTTTATATATTAGAAATAACCTTTCCTTAGGTAAATTTTACAAAATGAACTGAAAAAGACTGAAAAATAAATGAACAAGAGTTTAAAAAGAAACAACTACTTGAAAGACAGTTAAACAATTTCTGTGTTAAACAAGCAAGACCTGAAATATTCAACTGCACACTGAGTATCTTCCCCTTGGAAATCAGTGCTACAGCTATACAAACACAAGAATGACTACAGCAACTTTATTTTTGAGCTCAAAACTGGAAACACCAAAAAGAGCCTCAGCTGATGGACACATGAGGATCTGTGGTTCATCCACACAATGGGGTGTGATGGCTCAGCCACTGACAAGGAGCAGCACTTGGAAAACCTAACATGGTTATGAGGATTGAATAAACCCTACCAGCTCCCCCCAAAACAAAAACAAAAACCTTCTGCATCCTGTGTGGTTACAGACCTGTCACCTCTAGAAAATACAAAGTGTTTCCCAGAGACAAAAAGCAGGCACATTGCTTAGGATGGAGGGAAGCAATTTTAAGGAGCCATAAGTAAAATATGAAGGTGACGTATACATCACCACTTCAGTGATGATTTTCAAGGGGCTCATGTATGACAAGATTCCTAGAGGATTTTTTGTTTGTTTTTAGTTTCAGTTTTGTTTATTTTTGGTACCAGGAACCAAATTCAGGACCCTGTGCTTGCCAGGGAGCACTTTGCCACTGAGATATACCCCGGGGCCCATGTCAAGTTTCATCCAATTTTGTATTTAAACCTGTTAGTTCATTGTATGTAAATTATAATGAAATAAAATTGCTTTTAAAATACTTCTCATCTGAGCTATCCACAAAAGCTTTATTTACTTATAGATTTACTGACAAGAAATTTTGTTATTTATAGATTTATTTCTAAGCAGTATTGTTTATTTATAGATTATTTTATACAAAGTCTGTTTATTTATAGATTTATTTAATTTTGCTGTGCTGAAGATTGAGTCCAGTGCCTTGGTCCTTTTATCATAATTTATTCCCAGACAGGGCCTTGCTAAATTGCTAAGTTGTTTACATTGGGCTGGAATTTTATTACACTTATTAGCATTTTTTTGTACTGAAGTATAACAAAGGTAACTAAATTGAGTAGTCTCAAGTAAATCAATAAATACAGATTAACAAACAATAGCTGGGTGTGATGGTACATGCATGTATTCCTGGCACTTAGGAAGCTGAGGCAGGAGGATCATTGCAAGTTCTAGATAAGACTAATTTACATAGTGAAATTCAAGGCCAGCCTGAACTACACAGTGAGAGTCTTAAAAATTAAATTAATAAAATAAAATAAGATAAACCCTGGACTAAGGCAAGGAATTATCTTCTAGTCCAAAGCATGGGCATCTTCAGAGGATTTACTTTCAAAGGTGATATTGTTTGTATCTGGGTGTCCCCACCAAAGCCTCATGAAGTCACAGAGGCAGCTAAACCTAGCATCTGTGATTGGTTCATTGTTTACTGCTGTGATTGGTGATGAAAGTGCTTCACCTTCCCGGGGTTTAAATTATCGGAGTAAAAGAAGTCTCACCAGTTCATTTTGTGAGAGAAGTGAGAAAGTCTTGTAATTCAAAAGGAAATCACCACCTGTGGCCAACAGGTGCAGAAAACATTGGGCCTCCCAAAGTTGATAAGCACAGGCACAAATTACTGAGATGTGCTGTGTCCCCATCCAATGGCACCTTTTAAGGCAGGAGCTGAACAGCACTGGAGAGAACATGGGGGATAGAGCAGAGTCCTCTACCATAGCTCCCATCACAGCTACATCAGAGCCATCTTTGGCCTCACAGGACTAAGAAGAGAGGTTTCTCCAACAGAGAATACTACACAAATTTTCAAGATTTCTTTTCAAGAGTTTGATTCACGGTACTGTTTGAAGCAGGAAGGAACTGGGACCCTCCCTAGCCTTCACTTAGAGCATGCACAGGAGAGCTGTTTGAAGAATGCCATGCATGATTGTTGGAGGGAACTCTGGCCAGGGCCATAGAGGTGCAGGTCTAGGGGTGAAAAACTCATAGCACAGCAAGGTTTTTCATGGGCTAACCAGTGCGCTGGGAGTCTACACTGCAAACCAGTGCTTCCCAACACCAGGGACAACACTGAGCAAGGGCATTTGGATGCCAGAGTGGCCAGTCAGGTGAGGGGCAGCCCTGACTGACACACCTGAGAAGAGTATCCCTCTGGAGCTGAACCCCCAACAGGTCCACCTCACTTCCTTTCAGGTCTGTCAGCAAGGACATCACACAGGAGCAAGGCAATACAATTGAAGTTTACTCCAACTAAATTATTTAGCTTCCTTTTGAAGAAATGATTGAAAATGCACAAGTCTGAGAAATACAAGGCTGAGAACATCATTCTGCATGTTGTGTAAATAAACTGACCCTTCACAAGTCATCGAAATAATGCCTGTGGGTGAGTCTGCAATGGCAGAGGTGTGCAAACTCATGCATGCAGGTTTCACACTTGCAAAAGAATAACTCCAAATAAATGCTACATGGACATGACTTCCCTTTGGGACTGCACTGTAGCAAGCTAGATTTACTGAGCCACCTCAGTAAACCCAAGGGAAAACACACCAGATGACACCATCACCCAAATATGAGGGTTCAGGATCTCTGCTTCATGCTTGATGCTGCTGCTGGTTGACAATTTCAAGGTGTTTCTATCTGCACAACCTATCTTCACCCCTCTCAGCTAATGATTGCCTGGATGTGGATCAGACTATGTCTTTACTTAAAACCCCACCATGATTTCAGGATGGATAGCAGTCTCTTGTTTACTGGAAATTTCTTTTTGAAGTTTGGGTGTAAGCATCCTTAGACCATGTGCTTAGCAAGTTGAGGGGAAATGAGATTGTTTGAAGTAAATATAGGAAACTCATTTGTCAGTGGAAGATTCAGTTGGTATTGAAGCCCGTATGTTATGGGTAAACAGGAATGAGTCAGGGTTTGCTGTACAAAGTGCTGGAAGGCACAGCAGTGTCCCCAAGTTCAGTTTCTGGTTTGCTTCCCTCATTCTACCAAGCTTGAGAGTGGACTCTCAGCATTCAAGCACATAGGGTTTGAACTAGCATAGAAATCTGTAAAAACTTCTGTTAACTGGGGAGTGAAAAGACAAAGAAATGTTTTTTGGCAAAATGCAGTTCTAAATATATGCTTAAATAAACAATGAAGCCAGAAAAATAACAACAAAGAGAAATGTAATGAAAATATTGTGTTTTGTTCCAGTGGCACTGCCTCAGTCTCAAAGATAGGAGCAAAATTTGCAGAGTAGAAGGGTCACTGAAGACAGTGGTCTTCATGGTCTTGATCCCCAGAGGTGCACATTTGGTGCCCTGCCCTCTAAGCAAGATGAATTCTGGATAGCACCTGAATCCTGGTGGAGGCTGAGACCAGGACCCAGGAACTGAGGCCCCCAGGGCTGAGTAATCAGAGTTTTTGCTGCATCCTGGCTGCTCTGCCTTCCCTTGCCTGCAGGGCTGCAGCATGGATGAGGTGGGGGAAAAGGGTGAAAGGCAGGCAGTGCTAGGCTCCTGTGCAAGCTGCACACTCCCTGTGCTGCCTGAAAGCAGGAAGATTCAGGTCTTCCTTGCTGGAAAAATAGACACTGAAGCAAATCACTTGTTGTCCTATGGCAGTAGCAGACACAGGTCAGCACGGTGGCTTTTATTGTAGGAAGGGCAGGGACACCCACCACAGCAGGATCCTTATGGCTTTATGTATTGTAATTTTTAAAAGTTAGTTGTGAGCGATGTGTTGGCTTGCTGAATACCAAGCCTCCTTATTTTATATTTACAGTGATATTTGAAGTGTCTGTATTGTGCATAACTTTCAGTATATATAATGAAATTAAATCATCCATGTTCACATACCTATTCAAGAAATTAGCCACAATTAAATATTAACTTATTTGAATAAAAGGAATATTGAATAGAACACCATAAATAATGCATTGGAATGGAAAAATGGAAAAAACACCAAAAAGGCTTTCCCCCACGTTCAGTGCTCTGCTCTCCAGGAGCTCCTCTCTTCTGTCCTCACCTGCTATTCAGGCCTGGGTCTTTTAATTGCTGGGTGGAGAGAGGGCCAGGCTATGAGCTCCTCTATCATCTCAGGTAGCATCCAGGACATGGCCTAGGACATGGCCTTCTTTCAGCATTTTCTGTGACTATAATTGTATAATTGACTGAGAAGCTCTGCTGTGGTACATTCATGGTTTCTAACTATCCACACTCCTAACTGAATAAGAAGAGATCATGGGTATCTCTCAATCTCATTTTTATAATGAGGCCATAGAAGTGGAATTTCCAGGTTAAATGTATATAAATTGAATTTCTTGATCATAAAATTCACACTAAAACTCACCATAGAGTTGGAGCCTTGAAGGGGAAGCCCAGGGCTCCTCAGATCTCTCTGGATATTCGAAGTAGGAGGAAGATGGACCATGCAGATGTGGAGGACACCACAGCATCTAGTAGTGTACCATGGGGAAGAAAGTCTTAGGTCAGGATTCCTCATCCATCAGTCAGCTTCTCAGCAAACAGCCTACACTGCATGCAAGAAAAGAGAGGGCTGTTGTGGCCCTGCTGTCCAAGTTCGTCCCTGCAGTCATGAGTCCCCATGTCTCACTCACAGGAACTCTGTACAAGAAGATCAGCATGTTTCAGAGCCTACCTTGACTGAATGTCTTCCACCAAGGTGAGATCTCAACCGCCACATGTGAATTCACCACAGCTGTGGAGAAAGACAGGTGTTTACAGGCAGCAGGTCAGGAGGTGGGAACACTGCAGGCAGGTAAGGGTACATAGCCTGAAATAAGAGACCTGGCCCTACCCTTCCCCAGTGTCCTTCAGGAGTAACTGCACCTGCAACAATGTGCTTTAAAAGACTAAATAACTTAACAGAGTACTCACAAAAATATATACTGTAGGGCAAGTTTGAATATACGAAAGCAAATTGCTACATCCCTAAGTAAAATGTAACGTGATCATTAATCAGTACATGATCTCCTATGGTGTCCCTGACCCACACCCTCAGAAAAAAACACACCATTTCACATAGCATTAACAAACACGGGCAATGAGTCAACAATCATAACTGCTTAATAACAACAACAAATGCCAGAATATGATAAATGCCCAGCTGACTGGTATGAAGTGTATAGTAAAGAATAAATACTGAATCTGGCCATGTTGGGACTTAGGCAGCTGAACAAGAAAACAATTCTCCTGCCTTCCTGGAAAGCACCCCTGATGCAAGCCAGGAGGAGAACCAGTCAGCATCTCTGGGGAGCCTACTGGTGCATGGACTGAGAGCCATACATCTCACTTGACCACCCTTGGTTAGCAAGGAGAGGCAGAATTCTGAGCATCTCTTGGGAAGATGACTGTGTGTAATATAGAAAATATGGGGGATTTCCATTTATCTTGTGTTTGAAAACAAATGTTGTCTTTAATTTTTTGCTGCGTTTTGATTAATTGTTTTGCTCTATTCAATATTATCTTTTGACTGGTTTTAAAATGTTCTGTGTTTGTTTGGATTTCACAATAACTAATTGAATGGAAACGAATTGTGAAGATGAGATATACTATGGTACCTATTACTGTTATCACGGACCATGCTGTGAAATTCTGTACCAATTTCACTGCATTGTCTCGATGTGCTTTGTTCTGTTTGCTCTGTTGTATTTTACTATCTTCAAAATAAAATTTTGAAAAAGAATAAATACTAATCAGTTTTCATGTCTTTCAAGGGAAGGGAACCACCACCAATTCCTTTTAAATAACGAAATCACCCTGAAAATGAAGCCAGACCATAATGCTCAAAAAAATGGTAATGCTCTAATGGCCAATATTCTTAATGAACATACACAAAAATATTCAACTAAATGCTCATCAGCTAAATGCACCAGCACTTGCAAAATTTAAATACCACAATAAACACTGAGTTCACCCTCAGTGGTGCTAGAATGGTTCCACTTGCACAAATCATTCAGTGTCACTGGCCACATTCACAACATGAGGCACAGCTAACCCCTCAAGAGATTTGGAAAAATCACATTGAGAAATTCAAAAGTTCACCATCATTTCATGATAAGAACCATTCACACACCATGTGCAGGAGGAATGAATCTCAGCACAGCAAAGAACAGACATGACAAGTGCATCACTGACATCATGCTCAGAGGCTGACAAGCTGCAAGATTGGCTTCTCAGGTCAGGAACAAGACCAGGCTTTGGACTCTTTTCAACACACTACTTGAAGTCCTAGTCCTAGAATTGAGTCAACAATAAGAACCCAAAAGTTTACCAAATCAGAAAGGAAGAATTAAGAGGTGTCTCTGTTTTCTGAGGACACAACATTTCACATAAGAAACTTAAACCTACACCGAAAAACTTTTAGAACAAATGGAAAAATAACTTCAGTTTCAAGGTACAATATCCATATGTCATAATCAATTCATATCTATGTGCTTCAAACAAACTGCAGCCCCAAATACAAGGAACACAATTCATTTCATAATTCATCCAAAAGAATTAATACTTATGCAAAATTTAAACCAAACTCACCTGTTCTTGGAAAATTGTAGCAATTGAAGCAATGAGTGAAGTGGCACTAAGAGAAGAAAAGACAGATTGTGATGGTGGATGGGAAGAATTCATGTTGTTATAATGTACATGCTACCCAGAGCAACCAGGTGTTTAAATGCCATTCCTGTCAAAATATCAGTGCCATTTTCTTAGAAATAGAAAAACAAAATGAAAATGCACAGGGAAGGACAAAGAATCATCCTATAGCCATGGAAAAAACATTAAAGTTAGAGGCAATAAAAACATAGTTTTCTGGTATATAATAAAGTGACAACAGTCCAAAGGGTCCTATACTGCAAGAATTGGACACAGATTAAAAAGGCCAACCCAGTAGAGAAAAACTCATACAGTCACCAGGAATTTTGTTTTGTTTCTCCTTTTTCCTTTCCTTCCCTCCCCTCCCCCTCCCCTTCCACTTTCATTCATTTCCCTTTCCTTTAGATTTCTTTCTTTTTCTTTTTCAGTTTTTGGTCAAGTTTTTCCTCCGGCCTAAGCTGAACTCAGAGTGTGTTGCAGGCTTGTCTGGAACTCCCAGGAATCCTGCTGCCTCAGCCTCCTGAGTGCAGGCATTGCAGGCATTTTCAACATTCCATGCTCAGCCAATGAGTTTTTAACAACACTATGATGAAACCAGGTCTGGTGGAGTGTCTGGTAATGCCAGCATTCTGGAAGGCTGAGGCAGCAATATCACAAATTTAAGGAGAGCCTCAGCAGTATAGCCACTTCTCCAGAACCTGGAAGAAAATAAAAAGAATTTTAAATGTGGAAGGCCATGGAGCTAAGTGCAAATCTCTGTATTCAATCCATAGAAACTGAATGCAAAACAAAAAAACTTGTGAAGTCCAACAGTAGAAAAAACAGTATTTTACACTGTCCTGGCTTTCTGGAGGGCAGTGTACCCCAAGTGGCATTAGCTTTCACACTTTTTGTGTGGTTTGACTTCAAAAAATCATCAAAATCCATGAGGGATAAAAAAATAAACAGAAATTGCTTCAAGGATATCAAGTCTCAGTCCCAGTGCTGAAGGCATTTGCAGTGATATTCTGAAGCACATGATGACCACAGTTACAAAACAGAGAATCTACAAACAGTGTTAATGGGATTTTCAATCTTAGTTACTTTGAAAAAACTGCCACTTAGGAGGTTGATATATAGCTTAACTAGATCCACTCTATCTGCAAAATGTCTAAAGATCAGAGCCAAATATTTCATTCTATGAATGCACAAAATTACTGCTGATTACCAACTCAAGATAATGTACATTTGCAATCCTAGCACTCTGAGAGAGGGAGGGAGATTGAATAAGGAAAGGTTTAAGCCTCACCTGGGAAACTCACAATCTTAGTGGGATCATGCCTTAAAATTTGTAAAAAGATTAACAAATTTTACAAATGCATGAAAATATGGATCATTAAGAAATCTTTGCGCACAATACAGTAGCCAATGTGATTCTCTCATTATTCTTCTGCATTTTATTCTTTTACAGACTTAACAATACCATCTTTTATGTGGACCTTATTAATATGTACTTGAGTTACATTAAAATAAGACAAGAAAGTCTTTCCAAAAACAGTAATCCTTTGCTTAAATCCTACTTCCATATATAAAGTTACTACTAAAATAAAAAAGTACCATCAATTCTCTTTATACGATGCTCTCCAAAACCTAAGAGTGTATATTCAGTAGCATATCTACATTCATCTCAGTTAAAAGGTCAAAAAAGTTGAAACAGTTCAAATTCTTGGCAGTAGATCAATGTCTACCTGATGGGAAACCTAATATTCAGTGTGCTGACTAAAGTACATATGTAAGAAAAATTCAAGATTTGAATTGTTGATTTATAGGTGATTTTTGTGTCTTTTAAACCCTTTTTTAATGTATTATTTATTTCAATTTATTTATTTATTTCTGAGACAGGATTTTTCTATGAAGTTTAGGCTTTCATTGAAATCACATTGTAGCACAGGCTGACGTCAATTCACAGCAATCTTACTGCCTCAGCCTTGTAACTTCTGGCATTAGAGATGTTTACTACCAAACCTGGTTCTCATTTACTTTTTAAATTTTTTCCAAAATTAAATTACCCAAGTTTATGTGATATGTCATAGTTTATCAGGTGAGTTATACAAAATGAAATCAGAAAGCACTGAAAATGCACTGAAGGAGACTCAAAATCCTCCCCAACAGTAAACATAGTGTAACATAACATAACATATTATAGCATAAAAAACACAATAAAACAAAGCAAAACAAAATAAGAAAACAGGGTTGGAGATTTAGTTCAGTAGTATAAGTACCCTCTTGGCAAACTTGAGGTCATAAGTTCAATCCTCAGAACCAAAAAGAAAACAACCACCTAACTCTGATTTTAAAAAATGCTTGCAAGTGTACCTTAACAGCTTGTAAGCTAATCATACACAAGACATATAATCTGACAATTTCACATCTAAGTACTTTTTCTTTGAAATAAAAGTCTATGTCCACTCAAGACCGTGTATAAGAATGGCTGTGGCAGCTGGCTTTCCAGGGCCAATCCAGAAACAGAACAAATGGGATCAGTAGATGGGTGCCAGATGCATGAACAAGTTGTAGTTGGCCGGTTCAGCCCCATGAGACTGTGTGGTGGCTCCACTACCAATAAGCAGCAGTATGTGGAGAGGCTAGCACAAAGACGCTGCTTGAAGGAGACCAACCAAGAGCATTGAAAGTGAACAGGCTCAGCACCATCACCTCTAGGACAGGCAAACTACCCAGCAGGGACACAAAGCCCATGGTCTCTTTGGGATAGGAGAACAGGAAGTGAAAACAGTGACTAGGACACAAATTCCCCAGGAGGGAATCCCACGTGTCCTCATCAGCACGGGGTGAAGATGTCCATGGCCTTGAAAAATCTCCCCTTGCCCTCACCACCCGCTGTCCCTAATCAAAAGGAGGTCAGAGTATGGAGCACTACATTGTATGGCTGAGGTACACATAAGTAAAACTTGCTATGAATCCTCCTTTCCTAGACACATGGGTGTTATAACATGAAACATTTCATGTCCTTTAAGGAAAATTATTGTGGGCATTATGGGAACATCTCCAATCTCCTTAATGATAATGAAATGAAACTAACATAAGTCCATAAAAGACAGTCAAAATTAAATTTGAGAAATCTCTAAATGAAGAAACTGTGAACCTCATCCTCAAGAGAAAGGATCTTTTGAATGGAAAGGTCTAAACATACACACATTTTGCTAGTTTTTTAACTTGCTGTTTCTAAGGAGGACACAGATTAGCTCACAATAAAAAGAAAGGAGGCATCAGAGGGGGAGCCTCAACTGTGGACCCCAGCATATGACCTCACTTCCTTGGTGATATGTCCAAACAGAACTCTGAAGACTCTGGCCACCAGGCACTGTGGTCTGGTGATAGTTGGCCTTCATAGATGGCTGGCTCAAGGGAGTGAACAAGGAACATGCTATGCTGCTTTCCCAGGGCTAGTGGCCCAAGCATACGGACCCCGTGTCAGGGAACCACGTGGGAACATATGGAGAGGATGGTTCACTTGGTCCAGATGCTTCAGGAAGCTCAACTGGAAACACCCAGCTGTCAGCAACCCAGGCCAGGACTCATTGGCACACAGAGGTGCCCAGAGGCACCCAGAGACAAGAGGAAGCCCAGAACACATATCCCTAGGCTCAACCACCAGCCATTCAGAGACACTGAGTCCAGGAGTAGTTCAGATACAGGCAAGTTAAGTTCTCACCTGAGCAGCCCCGTGAGACTTGGCCACCTGTGTATTCAAGTCCTGGCCATGTGCAAGCACCTCCTTCTCATTTTACAACACTGAACTGTGGGGTGCTGAGTGGATCCAGAGTGCAGGGTCACTGAGGATGAAATGGGGACTCCATGGCAAGGGATTAGCTGTGGCCTTGGCCCCATGAAGACCTGCTAAGGAGGCTGTCCTGATTCCCAGGGATGACCTTCCACCCACCTCACTGACTCACACACATGGGAAAACTGTTCTGTTCTTTGGAAGGAGATAGGAGAGTCACTCTACGGGTTTCAAGGTATGCTCAGGGCAGGAATTCTTAGGAATGGAAAAGTGTCCATGGGCCCCAGGCATCACTTGGAAGTGGGTGGTTGTCATCAAGCCAAAATACACATGAAGACACCCTGTGTGAAGACACTTTTCTGAGTATTGTCCATGATCTTGTAAGCAGAACAGGTGCAACCACTGCCCTTTTGAGTTTTGACATTCTTTGAAGGCCACAGAGTCAGCATTGGCAGCAGAACAGATATTGTTCACCTCAAGGAAGTCTTTCTATGTCCAAGGCCAACCTTAGAAGTGGTTACAGACCATGTAGGAGGAGTTCTACAGAGACTAAGAGACCTGGGCAGCAGATCTTTGCCTGACCTATACACTGCAGAAAGGCAGGATAGACATTGATGATTCCTCACTTCTCAGATATTCATGGAGCACCAGCCCTGAGCCCTTGAGTGCAAGGACATGGCAGATATCAGTCTTTGCCTTTGTTGAGCTGACCTGCAGTGGGGAAGGGCAGGCAGAATCTGTGTCATGCTTCCCTAAAGAAGGGAGTGGTATCACACCACTAAGCAAGGACTGCCTCAAACGGAGCATTCTGTCAGCCTCTCAGGGATCCCAAGGCCCACAATGGCACACTGTAGTTGGAAGAGGGTGGGAGTGGACACTGAACTTGCTAGACTAGAGACCCATGTGCCCCTTGCTAAGGTAACCTGTGTAGGTAGTGTTTAGAAGAGAGGCCAGAACTCTCCCTTTGCTACTGCCCTGTTTGCTCCAGGTCCGCATCTCCTGTCCTTGACTCCTCACTGGAGCTGAACTCCAAGGTGGCTTCCCAGGCCAAGCTTCTCATGGACCAGCTTGAGCCTCCTAAGTCCCTGGTGCCTAAGTCACAGGGTAAGGAGCCCTGGAATGTGGGTTGTAGCTCTGAGAGGAGGAATGTGCTAGGGAACTCAGCAATGTGCCCAGATGATGGGAGACACAGGAGCATGATCACCTCAGCAGTCAGTG